AACAGCGAGAGTTTCACTTCTTCTTTTCCTATCTGGATTCCTTTTACTTCTTTTTCTGCTCTGATTGCTGTGGCCAACACTTCCAAAACTATGTTGAATAGTAGTGGTGAGAGTGGGCACCCTTGTCTTGTTCCTGATTTTAGGGGAACTGCTTTCAGTTTTTCACCATTGAGGGTAATGCTTGCTGTGGGTTTGTCATATATAGCTTTTCTTATGTTGAGGTATGTTCCTTCTATTCCTACTTTCTGGAGAGTTTTAATCATAATGTCTCTCACTTTTTTAATCTTTAAAATCAGGAGAAAAATCTGTCCTTGCAAGGCCTGGGTGGCTGTGTATTTACTGAGTGTCTACTATGTTCCAGGCACAATTCTAGAGGCTAGGGTGTAGCTATAAGCACAGCAGACATTGTCTCTTCTGTCAAAGGACTCCTCTAAGGGGGGAGAAGGGCGATGATCAGATAAATGATCAAGAATTACCAGACAGTGACAGGGACATGAGGGCTTCCAGGAGGAGGTGACCTTTGAGTGGGACCCAGATGAAGAGGGGGAGTGGACTGCATGGTTAAAAGGGCCCCATAATCACAGAGTAGGCACAAGCAAGCCTGTCCTTGTCCTTTCAGTACCCACACTGTGATGGCAGTTGCCAAGTCCTTGGGGGAGCCAGCTAATGTGAAAATTTTGATCCAGCATTCTGTCCAGAAGCCAAGGTTAAAGATTGCTTCACAGTGTGGTCAAGAACTCAAAATCCAGCAGGCCTAGGGGCAGGATCCATCACCCGGCTTCCTGGATCAGATGGTAGGAGAATAAAGGGACCCAGCATTGGGGGACAGGAAGCCTCAGATGAGGACCATCTGTTCTGTGGAGACTGGAGCATCTCCAATGGTTTCTCATCAAAGAACATCTCAGCTGCCAGATCACACAAGCCTGGCTTATGGAATGTCCCCCAGCCAGTGATGCAGAAAGGAGCCACTCTCCCTCTGTCCCTTTGCCAGAGGTCCTTCCACCCCCACCCAGAGCCAGGCAGTGGGCAAGCCTGTGCCAGAGCAGCTGTGGTGGTTGCTTGGAATCACCAGCCCCTGGCACAGTCCATCACCCCTCTGAACCTCACTTTACACATCTGTTAAATGGGTTGATGGAATCTCACAGAGCGTTGCAAGCATCCCATTAGACACAGGCAGAAAGAGTAGGAGAAAGTATGTTTCAAAACAGTTTGCAGGCGGCACAGTGATTAAGAATCCACCTGCCAATGCAGGAGATGCAGGAGGCATGTGTTCAATCCCTTGGTCTGGAAGATCTGCTGGAGAAGAAAATAGCAACCCACTCTGGTATTCTTGCCTGGAGAACTTGGTGGACAGAAGAATCTGGCAGACTATGGTCCATGGGGTTGCTAAGAGTCAGACACAACTGAGAAAGTGAGCACAGCACAAAGGTGAGATTATAAACAAAACCTGTGAATCCATGTGCATGTGTGCACGTTTGTATCTGCATTGAAAAGATCCAGAAGAATCCACACAACACAGTGGAACTGAGGGAAGTAAACTGGAGTCTCGAATGCATTTTCCCCCACATTGAGCTGCTAGAATGTTTATCACTAAAACACAATTTTTAAAAGAGATAAGGATTTGGCACAGTGAAAGGCACTTAGCTGGTCACACAAAACAGATGAGGAGCTTTTAATTGCTGTCATAATAAAGACACACCTCTCAGGAACTAGCCTGGAGTCTCTCTAGAACAAGCATGCAGGCTGCCTGCTGGCTGGAATTTCACCTCTCCTCTCTCACCTATTAGGAAGGAACAAGTTCCAGACTCAGAAGAACTGACTGAGTTCAAGTCTCAGCTCTGCTACTCACTGGCTGTGTGACCTTGGGCAAGTCAATTGCCCTCTCTAATCTTCATGTCCTCCTCTGCAGATGAAGAGAGGATTTATATCTCCCAGGTGGTTCATTCCTCAACAACAAGCTGTACTTGCCCATCCACTCTATACCAGGAACAGGGCTGGGACCCAGCACAGGTGAACAAGACAGACAAGGTCTCTGGATCACTGAGCTCACATCTAGTGGAGGAAGTCAACAGGAAATAAGACCAAGTTGGATGGTGGCAAGAATTAGGGAAATTAACAGAGTGAGATGCACTAGAAAGTGACCAAGAGCACTGCTCTGGACTGGGCAGTCAGGGAGGGCCTCCCTGAGGAGGTAGCTTTCAAGTAGAAACCTGAATGAAAGTGGGCCATGAATAAGAACCACGCCCTGAAGCCATACCAGGACTATAAAGATCTGGCACAGGGTGGGACACACATGTTCATTCTTGCTTCTGTCTTCAAATGGGCTAAGATAATCAGGGCTGGTGGGAGCAGCAGGAACCAGCCATGCTGGAGACCCCCAGTGGAGCTGATGCAATCTGACTCAACACTCCCAGCCCTGAAGCAGGTTTGAGATAAAAAACCAACAGGGCCCTGAGGCCACACAGTAGGCAGAACCAGATGGCAGAGCTGCCAGATTTCTGGCCCAGGTGGCAGAAGATCAAATCAACTGGCTTGGGAGCCAGAAAGCCTGGAGGAAAACTTTGGAAAAGTACAGAGAACACACACAGTTAGGAAAAACCACTAGGGCGCATTATTGTTGACAATACAGTCATGAATAGTCTCCTTCCTCCCCACATCCCTCCTCCTCCCCTTCCCCCTCCTCCTCTTCATCATCATCATCTGCCCCGTCTGCTTACTGGGTGATGATTATTCACAAAAACTAGCCTGACCACCAAGGAAACACCCCAAGCCACAGGAGGGAGGCTTGGAGAAATGACCCTTGGGAAGTGTCATGCTATAAAAAGAGATCATTTGTCCCCTTCTAACTCCCCTAGTAGTAAATTAAAGATAGCAGTAAACTCTTTGCCATCCCTCCCCTTAAGAGATTATGATGATTTTATTTCGTGTGTCAGCTAGACTGGGGCAGTTGTCGTGGCTGTTATTCAGTCACTAAGTCGTGTCTGACTCTTTGCGACCCCGTGGACTGCAGCATGCTAGTCCTGCATCACGCTAGTTCCCTGTCCCTCAGCATCTCCCAGGGCTTGCTCAGATTCAAGTCCATTGAGTCAGTGATGCCATCCAACATCTCATTCTCTGTCACCCTCTTCTCCTCCTGCCTTTCCAGTCTTTCCCAGCAGTAGGGTCTTTTGCAATGAGTCAGCTCTTTGCATCAGGTGGCCAAAGTATAGGACCCAATTATTAAACACTTATCTAGGTGTTCCTGAGAAGATGTTTTTTTAAGTTTGCCAGGGAGCTAAAGTTTATCATTTTAAGTTACTAAACTTCCTGGAGGTTTATTACACAATTAAAGTTAACAAACAGATGTATTTCCCAACATGTTTAGAGTCCTTAAAAAATAGTTATGTGTGCACAAATGTGCACAATAAAAATGCTCTTATATGCAGTTTTGTAAAACGAAAAAGAAATCACACCACACTGCGGGGCTGGTGGTTGGGGAGCAGGAACAGAGTGAAAATGTTTCCCATGTAATACTTGGAGAGAAAGGAAGGGGAAGAGAGGAGATAAATAATAAAGTGCTTACAACAATGTTCCTGACACACAGTCAGCACCAAGCATGGTGTTTGCCATTATTCCTCTTATTTTATGACAGAATGAGGACATGAGCACAAGGCAAGAGCTTTGCGTCCATCCAATACATACATCAGTGACCTACCAGCTGTTTACAACCTTCATCTCATTTACTCCCTGAGCCCTCATCAAGGAGGAGACTCCCAGAGGGGAGAAAGCACCGGGCTTGAGGTCAGACAGCACGTGGTCAATGCCCACCTTTGCCTGATCTCCAGCTGTGTGACCTTGAACAAGTGACTTGCCTTCTCTGAGTTTCACTTCCTTCTTGGTAAAAAGAGGCATAAGATTAGGTCTACAGATGGTAAAGACTCCACCTGCAGTGAGGGAGATCAGGGTTGAATTCCTGGATCAGGAAGATCCCCTGTTGAAGGGAATGGCAACCCACTCCAGAATCCTTGCCTAGAGAATCCCAAGGACAGAGGAGCCTGGTGGGCTACAGTCCATGGGGTCCCAAAGAGCCAGACATGACTGAGCAACTAACACTCACATGGGAATTGGAGAAGCAAACCCATATGTGTGTCTTAATTTGGGCTCTCCAGAATTTAACACTGATGTAAAGATTCAAGTGAAAATACTTTATTTGGAAGTGACCTTGAGACAAAAATTCAACTGCAAGTTGTTTCTTTGAGAGGTGATTCTAGAAAATGCCAGTAAGACAATGGGGAAGTGAGGCAGAAAAGAGAAGGCAGAAAGTAAAGGATGCTTTATCAAGGAAGCTTACACTATGAGTACCTGGGGCACAGTCCCTCTGGGAGACAGCAGAGAACATGTACCCCCCCCCCCGCCCACTTCCAGTCCTTCCTTAGGGCTGCTTCCAAAGGTATTATTTCTCCGGAATGTCCTGCCTGAGGGAAGTTTGGACAGCAGCTCCTGCGATAAGCCCAGCCTGATGTGAACAGTTGCAGTCATTCCCAACACACCCATCCACACACAGGCACACACGGATGCATGCACCCACAATCCCACACAGCACACAATCACACACTGTGCACACATTTTGACTCTTACACACGTACACACACTCACATACTTGCACACAGTCACATGGATGCTCGCATATTCACTCAAATGCGCCCTAACATACCAAGTCACACACGACCTCGCGTGCACTCACGCTCACACACTCAACTGGTGGAGACCAGACGCCTTAGAGCCTGTTGTTCCCGAACCGTCCAGCAGAGGGAGCCTCCGACACACTCAGGAGAGGAAAGAGCGCTAAAAGCAACCAGTGACAGCACCAGGCCTTAAAAATCTCATACACGGGTGCACCTGCGCTCAGGGACCCGGTCTCTTTTCCCTCCTCCTTGTCTCTTTCATTCACCGGCCACAGCCCTTAGCGGAAAGTCAATCTGCATTAATCACAAGGATGATGAGCCTGTAAAAGCCACACGATGAGAGAGAACGGAGCAGCAGAGAGGGGCAGTCCTGCGCCGAAGCCCACCGCTAGGAGCGGGCAGAGCCAGGGTTTGAGCCCACACCTCTTGCCTCCCAAGGCCAAGTTATTTTTGCCGGCGAATGACAAGGTTGCAAGGGAAAGGGTGGGGCGAAAGCTGCCGCTGCGATATTTAAGGAATGATGTGTGCCTGGAGACCCTCAGCCTGAACAAGGATGTGGAAGACGGAGCACCATCAAAGCCGAGTGACCACTGCAAGGCCGGGAATCACAAGTTCCCCCACTTAGACTGCGAGGAGCCTCTGACACGGGATTCCGATCGATGACCACTTTACGCCACCTCAGGGCGCCCCAGGATCTGCTTGCCAGGTTTGCCTCTGCTCCTCCGTGCCCCCAACCCCACCCCATTCCCTAGCACACTCCTTTCCAGGCAAAGAGGGGCTAGAGACCCCTCCAGGACCAGGAGCCCGAAGCATGGGGAAGAAAACGACTCCGGGCCCCCTCTAAGGTCCCAAGGACATCGTTGTATGATTCAGGGCGAGTCATTTCATTCTGGGGAACTCAAGTTCCCACCTCCGTGAAACGAGATTGTGCGTATGTGCTCAGCTACTAAATTGCCTGCGACTCTTTTGTGATCCCATGGATTGTAGTCAGCCAGGCTCCTCTGTCCATGAAATTTCCCAGGCAAGAATATTGGAGTGGGTTGCCGTTTCCTCCTCTAGGGGAATCTTTCCGACCCAGGGATCCAACCCACGTCTCCTGCTTGGCAGGCAGATTCTTTACCACTGAGCCACCTAGGAAGCCCAAAAAGAGAGAGTGAGAGCACCCTTGAGAATTAAGTGAAAATATCTGGGAAGAGCACACAAGTATTCGGTCGATTTATACCTCATTATTAATTTGGAGACACCGGGGGCTTGCTCCTTGAGCCCCTCCTTCCTGTACTCACAAGCTCACAGTCTGTACACATGCACACACGGGCACACACACACCAAGGGATCCCTCCTCGCCCTGAGGCTTTTTAAACAACATCTAAACACTGAGCCTCCCCAGATGTACATCACCAGCCCTGGACTCGTCCAGATTTAGAACCCATCTATCGAACAGCCAGGTTGCCTTCTCCAACTACCCCAGCCCAAACAAACATGCTGATTTCAAACCACCTCCCCCATCCCCCCCCCCCAAAAAAAAAAACAACCACACTCCATTTGGGATTCTCCATCTCAATTGATAGCATTTCCATCTTTCCAGGTGCTCAGACCCAAACCTGGTCTTCCCTCGTAGCTCAGTTGGTAAAGAATCCACCAGCAATGCAGGAACACACCTGCAATGTGGGAGACCTGGGTTCAATTCCTGGGTCTGGAAGATCCCTTGGAGAAGGAAATGGCAACCCACTCCAATATTCTTGCCTGGAAAATTCCATGGACAGAGGAGCCTGGCAGGCTACAGTGCATGGGGTCGCAGAGAGTAGGACACAACTTGGCGACTAAGCCACCACAGACCCAAACCTGGTGTTGTCCCATTCTCCCAAGCCCCACATTCCATTTATCTGCAGACCTGCCAGTATGACCATCATGAAACATCATTTCTCATCATAATCCAACCACCACTAGTCGCCTCTACAGCCCCCAGCTTGGGCAGAGCCACCATCATCTCACCACCCCACCTCACCCCCGCCCCCCCGAACCAATCTGATTTTCCTCATCCCATCCTCACCACAGTCTCTATTCAACATAGCAACCCGCATCTGTCAGGTAACATTTTTTTAATATTTGTTTATTTATTTGGCTGCTCTAGGTCTTAGTTGCAGCATGTGGAATCTTCAAACTTCTGTTTTGTGGCATGCAGAATCTCTAGTTGCAACCTGTGAACTCTTAGTTGTGGCACATGCTATCTAGTTCCCTGACCAGGGATCAAACGTGTGTCCCTGCATTAGGAACATAGAGCAGCCTTAGCCACTAGACCACCATGGAAGTCCCTGTAAGATAAATCTTGTCCCTCTTTTGCTCAGAACCCTCCACAGCTCCCGATTTCTGTCACAGTGAAACTCAAAATCCATACAGTGACCTCCAAGGTTGTGTGAATTTACTTATTTATTTGCTTGTTTATCATCTGTCATCTGTTTCCCCCACTACCACCACCACCAAAGTGTCAGTGATGCAAGGAATCAAACACTCCCTGGCTCACAGCAGATGCTCAAAAAAATATGCAATGAATTAACATGATTATTGTCGTCACTGTCATCGTCCCACCTCTACAGGAGGTGGTGCAGTAGTAAAGAATCTGCCTGCCAGTGCAGGAGGCACAAGAGACTCGGGTTCAACCCCTGGGTCAGGAAGATCCCCTGGAGTAGGAAATGGCAACCCGCTCCAGTATTCTGGAGAATCCCATGGACAGGGGAGCCTGGTCGGCTCCAGTCCATGGGGTTCCAAAGTGTCAGACACAACTGAAGCGACTTAGCACACACACACAAATACACACACACCTTCTGCATAAAACCTGTACTGTGACACAGCCCAAAGACCCTGCACTGTTGGGCCCTGCCCACGCTTCCTCCATTCCAGCCCCACTCCCCAGATCCAGCCACCCTACTCTCTTTGTGAGTTCCATGAGCACACCACACTCTCTCACCCCAGGACATTTGCAGATGCTGTTCTCGCTTCCTGGAATGCACTTCACTCCCTTCTCGACACTCAACTTCTACTCCAGCTTCAGCATCAGAGTAGCTCTCCTTGAGCCACCCTCCATCCCCTGCTATGCTTGCCCAGCACCAAAGCCTCTCTTTTGCAGCACTTGTCACAGGTTGTAAATACATTTACCCATGGAATTATTTGTCCAACACATGTCCTCTATCCTCCTGAGGGCAGGGATTTGCCTGGTGTTGTGCTCCCAGCCCAGTGCCATTGGACACTTACTAAGCAGTATGTTGAAATAAGGGGCTTCCCAGGTGGCACTAAGGGTAAAGAACCCATCTGCCAATGCAGGGGACGAAAGGATTTTGATCCCTGGATTGGGAAGATCCCCTGGAGGAGGGCATGGCAATCCACTCTGGTTATTCTTGTCTGGAGAATCCCATGGACAGAGGAGCCTGGCGGGCTACAGTCCATAGGGTCGCAAAGAGTCGGACACCACTGACGAAACTTAGCACACATGCACATGTTGAAATAAACGAATGCACAAACTGTCTCAAAAAGCCCAAGTTTATGTCCGAAGACAAACGACTTCCCAGCCTCCTAGCCCACAACTTCCCAGCTGTCCAGGACTCCTCAATTCCTTGCTGGAATCCAGGTGTAAGGATCTGATCTGGCTAGGGAGTGGGTGATGGGAGCTGTCTGCATCCTTTGCTTATATTCTACAAAATTCAGGACACTCGCCAAAGGGGTTTTGAGCAAGGGAAGAAGGAAGGGGCTTGAGAGGGAGAGTCTGGGCTTACAAGTCAACAACATCCTGGGCTTGAGAGGGAGAGTCTGGGTTTACAAGTCAACAACAAACTTCCTAGGCCCTGGGATGCAGGCTCGGGAGTTCATCCATGTGAGCCGGGGGCCTCAAGAAGGTGATGTTCGAGTTCAGGGTTCTGATCTCAGGCTCCAGTTTTCAAGTCTTCAATTTAAAAGCCAGCCGAGGTCTGAGGTAGACTGAGCTTGTTGCCTAGAGGCCTAAGGTATCTATCCTTGGTCCTCGGAAGGTTCAGTAGGCGGGGCCTGAACATTGGAATCCGAGAGGTGCTGGGGCGGGGCCTGAGCCCGAGGGAATGTGGCCAATCCAGGTCCCTCAAACAAGAGGGCGGAAACTGGCACTGAAGGGGGCGGGATCTCGACCTCAAGGGGCGGCATCAGACCCTCCAGAGGCGGAACCTTGCCTTGAGTGGGTGTGACCTGCACCATCAGGCTGCTTAACAGGGGGAGTCCGGTCCTCCAGTAGATGAGCCTGACCTCCAGGGGGGGCGTGGTCTATGCCCTCAGGCTCTTAGGTGTGGGGCCTGGGCCCTCAGGGGCGGGACCTAGGCCTCTCTGGGCGGGGCTTGGGCCCCCGGGATCAGCAGGGGTGCGCCGACCTTCAGGCCCGCGGAGGCAGCGGCTCCACCTTGAGCCAGATGCCATTCTCCGTGCGCAGAATGAGCTCGGGCTTCCGCCGCACCTTGCGCGTTCGGTCCACGCTCAGGCGGAAGCGCAGCAGCGTCAGCGCCACGGCCACGCGCATCTCAGCCATGGCGAAGCTCTGTCCAATGCAGTTCCTGATGGAAGGAGGACAGGGGCCTCAGGCTCAGCCGCTGTGTGAGCGGGGTCCCCGGGATGGGGTGAAATGACCTCCCCCTCGGAGCCTCAGGGTTTCCCGGGTAGCTCAGACAGTAAATAATCTGTCTGCAGTGCTGGAGATCTGGGTTCGATCCCTGGGTTAGGAAGTTCCCCTGGAGGAGGGCATAGCAACCCGCTCCAGTATTCTTACCTAGAGAATCCCATGGACAGAGGAGCCTGGCGCGCTACAGTGCATGGGGTCACAGAGAGTTGGACATGACTAAACGACTAACACACACTGGGAGCTTCAACTCACGGACAAAGTTATCATAGAGCCATTAAGAGCACATGAGCCCAGAACTCAGGGCTTGGCATAGAGTAGATATCTGATACCCTGGATGATATCGTAGGGTCTGATTTGGGGGCTTCCTGATGTATTGAGGGCACGAAAAGGGTACCAGGTTGGTGGACAGGACACCCCCAATGGTTTCTGCCCCTAACAGACACATCCCTGACCGTCCACTGGCCTTGATGTTCCTCCTACACTTCACTTGGATTGGGGGAAGTAAGTTACCTGGGTCCTGCAGAAAAGGGCACATAAGCCAATGGGGAGCGCTGCTGTGGGTTGTCCGGATCAAAGCGATAGGGATTGTACACCTAGGGAGAAGTAGATTGGGGGGAAGTTAAGGGGGCCTGGTTCTGGCCATCCCAGCATGGTTCCCTCCCTCAGCCTCTGGGGGCCAGACCAACTGGACCAGCCACACCCGCCTCCTTCCCATTTCCACCACAGGACCTTTGCACTGGCAGTTTCCTCCACATGGGACACAGTTTTCCCTGCTCCTCACACTTTAAAGCGTGAACATTTTCAGTTTTAGCTCAACCATCTCTTCTTTGGTAAGGACTTGCCTCACTGTGTGAGCTAAACTGCTCTCCCCCAACCCAGGTCAGTTTTTGTTTCCCTTATGTATGTATCACAGTTCAAAATGATCTTATTTATTTGTTTATTTTCTTCCTCCTCACTTCACTGTCTGCTCTGTGAAAGCAAAGACAGAGTGCCCCAGAGGGCCCTCAGTGCCCCATACACAGTAGATGCT